CCTTTTTATTTTTTCATCTCGTTTGTCAGGACGATGATCGACTCATCTCAGATTTCAGCATTTTGTTGTCAGTGTGGCTTTGTCCTGCGGCAACAGAGATGGAATGTCAAATACACGTGTATATAGCATACACATGTCAACCAATGAGTTACATCCTCAGAAAAGTATTTCTTAATTAAATCTGATGAGACATTTTGGCAGTTGAGAAATTCTCAGCCATAGTACCCAAAAGAGGAAATGTAACATGTTTTAACATAAAAAACATTGATGCAAACCTCAGAATAGATTGAAAAGAAAAACCTGCTAAACAACCAGAAACTTCCCAGTAGGTCTCAGCTTTCTGGTTCATACTCAATAAAAAATACTTTACAGAAGTCGTTAAACCTCATTAACACACCAGAAACAAAAAAAGGTCTGTGGTTTACGACGTCAACTCCAAATCAACCTTTCACCTACACCTCTGCTCCTCTTTTTTCCTCAGAGAGGAGACGCCTCGAGGAACCGCAGCCTCTCTCTGGGTTAAAGTGCAAACGGAGTTTGAAAAGGGGAAAAAAAAAGAGAAGAGAAAAAAAGGAAAAGCATCCAGAGGTGAGGGGGAACCCGAGGAGAGGGATGCGGTGGGAGTGGAGAAACTGGGTAAAAGTTCACTGTGATGGAGGTGAAGAGGATGGAGTGTCCGCCTTTGAATAGTAAATAACGGCTGGTTTTAATGAATGCCTCATGACGTCAACGTGGTTGTGCGCGAGCCGTGCACAGGCGCAACCTTTCCCCCACTTTCTCTGCGCTGCCAAACGCAGGCATGTGAAAAAGATGTCAAACAGAAACAGAGTTTGGCCAAAAGTTAAGTCTGTGTTCCAACTTGTATCCACTGTTTGAAACACAGAGAAAAAGGCAACGGAGTCGAGAAAAAAAGTATCACTGTCAGGATGCTGACAGTGAAATAAGTGAAACACACACAATGCATCAGCTTGTAAAAAGATATTTGGTCGCTTTTGAAACAAGAGTTTGAGGAGATGTCACAGTTTTATCCCTGAGCAGAAAAACTGGGCCCTGTGTCCAGTTTTCATAGACGGTTTATGTGCTTTTTGTAATGTCTCCATGACTATTCCTTTAAAGGGCTTACATTATTCTCTATGACAGGTTTTGGAATGATTTTTTTAAGCTTTTAGAATAAAAATAAAGAGTGACTCTTTTCACGCTAAAGAGATACATGATTTTCTTGACATTGCAGGGAAAGCTTTCCCTCTATCCGTCTTAAACAAGCTGCTGCCTCTTCATGGCTTCTAACAAAAAATCCCAGTGTTTTCACACTTTGTGATTCAGGGAAGTTTTCTGCATATTTTCTGTGTTATCGCTCATAGTTCTTTTGGCACATTGTTGGGCTTTATCCTGAGCTGGGCTGGTTTTAGAGGTAAAATAATAATAATAATCCCACGTAACTTGTTTTTTTATTGTTGAAATGTCCCTTAATCGGCATAAACCGGCAGGCTAGGAGATATTGGTGCTTTTAGACCTCACTGAACCTCATTACAACACTTAATTACGGCAAAAAGTTTCATTTACTTCTATGCCGCTCTCTTTTTATCGATCAAACTCAGATCTCCGTGCTGCCGGGCTTTTCCTGTCCTCCCTGGGCTTCTCTTCCCGTTTCTGTGTTTGCTGTTTGACGCCGCTGCCGATTATCACAACGCAAACAGTCGAAAGGTCAAAGATCGAGATGGAAGTTAAAAATAAGTTCTGCTCCGGCCACTGGACCTGGGCGTGTTGTTTCAGCTCTGGTCCGGGCCCCCGTGGTGTTGCTCCATCCCCTCCAGCTGTGCGTGTCTGAGCAGGAGCACAGTGGAGGATATTTTCTGCCCCGAGAGGCTGATGCAACATACCAGCCATGTAACAGCATCCCGACCTTTGACACACTAACCCACTGGAGCCTAAAGACACGTCAAAAATCTCCACAGTCTCCGTGGATACGTGCATGCACACGTGCACTGAGGAACGTGCCTGGCTGTTGCCTCAGTTCACCAGCGGTTCGGGGTACCTGGTACAAGTTTAGGGGACTGAAACCATCCTCATACATTCGTTCTGTGTATAGTGTTTCAGATTTAAAATCTGCGAATTACAACAAGGTTTTATATATGTTACTGGAGCCGGTTTCATCCATTCCTATAGTTGCTGTTTTTTTTGTCAAAAACCGAACAGCTAAAGACACCAATGAAATCAACAAAAAAAAAATTTGTGGGGTTTTTGTGGAGATTTTACAGCAACCAAAGTCCGCTGTGGATTGATTTATTTCGGAAGGCGAAACACAACAATCTGTACACAATCTGACTTATCACTTCTTTAAGTTGTTGTGTTGTACATGTGGGCAACCAACACATTGCAACTGTTGTTGTTGTTTAGATGCGTGTTCACGTGTTCGCTTTTTCTATTGGCTGTTCTGAGCGTGCACCCGCTCCTGAGGGAAACGTGTGGATAATGAGCTGCTTAATTCTGAACTCTGGGCCCCCCCGTTAGTTTGGTTGATATTTAGCAGCAAACAGGTGGTGATCCATGGATATCCAGGAGGAAAACAACACTCCCAATGGAAGTTAACAGAAAAAAGAAATAGATAGATAGATAGATAGATAGATAGATAGATAGATAGATAGATA